ATAAGTAGCTTGGATTATATATAGACATCATAGGTAACAATATCTTATGTTTTATGTGTATAGGCTATGGACTGGTTATTACAAACTGACCGATAGGGACCGCAGAACTGTTGTAATGAAGTGTCGGACTATGGGTATGTTCGGTAGATATTAAAGTCGACTGATAAGTCAACTGAAGCTGTTTTATGATGAGAAAAAAATATTGTCCATCAAAGCAGAATAGGACTTATTACTAGTGCAAAAGGTTGTGTCTCCACGGACTGTTCGATGGGCGGAGACGCGTCCATGAATGTGACAAGAAAACCTCCTCTCTAGATTAAAGTAAGCGCACACGTCAGCAGACAAAAGCATCCCCATCATCTAGATAACATACTTTAATCTAGCAGCTAAGGCCCCGTTTAGATGTAACTCAAAACCCAAAATTTTTCAAGATTCCCCGTCACATCGAATCTTGCGGCACATAAATGGAGTACTAAATATAGACGAAAAAAAAACTAATTACACAGTTGGTCGAAAAATCATGAGACGAATCTTTTAAGCCTAAATAGTCCATAATTAGACAATTTTTACTAAATACAAACGAAAATGCTACAGTAGCCAAAAGCCAAAAAATTTCGGAACTAAACACGCCCTAAGGTAAGACATCGAGATTATCCACACATTGGTCAGCAGCACTTGGACTGAAACCACTGACCCTGTTCACACGGTGAGTTGGACAGCAACAAAGGCGCTTTTTGCCCAACTTTTGTCAAAGCTTTTCTCACTGGAAAGAGAAAATAGTGAGTGAAATCCCTATTGTTGTGCCTTTTTTGTGTTTGTGTGTGTGGGGTGGGGGTGGGGGGTTGTGAGCGAAGTAGTACTTGATGATTTTGGAATAAAAAAGAAAAGGAAAGTGAGAACCGGCAGTTGAGCAGTACAGCCTCTAGTCACTGTACGTAACTTTGTGGCACAGTGCGGATGATCTTATTGCACTTTAATCGGCACGACCGGAATCTAGAAATAACTTTGCCAAGATAAAATTGCTTTGGTGGCTGGTGGGAGTGTAGTGTACTAAAGTTGGTGCTGCTTTGTTGAAAACCTGAAATCAACTCGACGACTAAGCTTTGAATTCCTTCTGCTGTTTTGCAAGTGCATGCATAAAGAAGGCTAATAAAGGCATCTGAATAATTTTTGCTAGCATCCAGCATATTTTCACTAACGTCTGCCAGAATACGAAGAAAGTTTCCACGGATGCTCCTTCTAGAGGTCTTTGCGGTTAGCCGTTGACGACATTATCTCGCTGGATTGACGGCACTGACAACACACAAGCGTGGAGTGGTTTAGTTCTTTTTTTTGTGACGAAATTGGAGTGGTTTAGTTCATGGCACCAGTTGAGGCAGTTAATTAATTGCACTGGTATGTCATTTGTGCTTGCACTTTCGCTGCAAAGCAGAAGGGAGAAGGCGCTAGTAGCAAATTAGCGATCAACTCTTTTGGTGTTCAATTCAACTCTGGTCGATTTTTTATGTGAAATATTTTCACCAAGCATCCATCCCTGTCGTCGCTGTCGAGGTAACTTTCTTGAATAACATACCGATTAAAAAAGTTCCAGACGTTAGAGATGAAAGCAACGGACAGACGACAAATGGGTCGAAAGATGCTTGGGGATAGCATTGGTCTGCAAAGTAAACAGTACATGTACTTGCATTTTTTTAGAAGGCAATAGTGCCTCTCTTTTCTTTTCCTAAGCCAATAGTTCTTCGAATTTGTGGCGAAGATATGCTAGTTCTCTACATACAAGGTATGTTGCAATTGCACTTCAAATTTAAAATTTTGGCAAGAAATGATGGTTTTGCAACGAATGGATTTGCCACTGTAGTGTCACGTTCGTCGGCAGGGGCGGTCGTAGTCTGGTGTCTCGGAGTCAGAGACTTCGCCGTTGGAGCTCTGCAGTAGAAGATCTCCGTCGTCCGGCTACTGCTAGTGTAGGTGTGCAGTCGCAGCTGACCCCGCGCCAGTTTTCTACGCGGCTCTTTTTTCACTCCAATACCAATTGGCATTTTGGCCATATTTAGTTTCCAAATTCCTGAATTTAACACTATAAAAAAGAAGATTTTCTGTCACATCAAACTTACGGTACATGTATGGAGTACTAAATGTTGACGAAATCAAAAACTAATTACACAGTTTAGTTGTACTTTGCGAGACGAACGTTTTGAGTCTAATTAATCAACGATTGGACAACTATTACCAAATACAAACGAAATATCACCGTGCGCTACAGTGTCGCTACAGTACCCCCTTGGGTTCCCGGTGACGCCGAATCCGTCCGGAACTAAACGTGGCCTTTGCAAGAAACTTCTCAGATGCCATCAAATCGTACCCTAGTGCTCTACTGATTACTGAAGTACAGTAGGAAGTACTAGTGAGTAAGTATATACATAATACATGTGTCTATCACATGGTTACAAAGTACTAGCTGTAGTTTGTGAAAAGAATAGTGGCCTTTCTGCAAAAGGCGGCGCTTCCTTTTTATATTTTGCCTTTCCCCTCCCGTTCCCGTCTAGCTCTCGCATCAGCCAACAACACTTCCCCGCAAACTCCTTCCACGGCGCGTCACCTCACATCACCCCGTTCATCCCCAGCGAAGAAGGTAATTACCGCCATTCTCCCCGTAATTTTGCATTATAAGTTCCTAATCACTCAGTCCGCCACTAGTATTCCGAGGCCAGACGATCCCTGCGTTAGTTACCCCCCCTGCTCGTTCTGGTTTGGGGGGCTTTTCTCTTGGATCTCCTCCTGCTTGTTGGGGCAAATCCTCGAAATTTTCCGGTCAGAAAGATTTCTTTTCGCTACGGTTAGGGTATCTGATTAGTGAAAGGGGATAAGAATCTCAGTTCTTTGTTCACTGAATCGAGTTTGACATTATGATATGTGCCTATCTATCAGTACCTCGCATCGCTGCTCATGCTTTCTTTTGCGTTTGCACTTTGCTGTGATCGGTGATTTATCAGATAATCAGACCACAGCATGTCGTTCATTCCAGTATTTGGGCTGACAGTGGGTTCCAATTGGATGTACCAAATGTGCGTTCGCTGCAACTCACTCTCTGATTTCTGGGAGTCCTAAATCTAGGCTATCGGTAAATATGCAAATTGCCAAATCGTCCAGCCTCTTGCGTTTGCACACTGGATGCGGCTTTTGTTTGCGTCCCAACTCCCAAGTTTGTTAGTCCTCACTTGCTCTTTCTGCTTCTGAGCAAATTAGTACAGGTCACCTTTCTACCACTAGAATCTTTTGTTTTTGCTGCAGTTGTAGGAGATCTTTGAGCTAAAATTCCTTCAGATCCGAGCCGAATACCTAAATATGTTTCCTGATTAGAGAATAGCCAGGGCCCTGTGTCTGTTTCAGTTATCTCCTATACCTAAATAGGAAATCCCCACAAACATATTTTCCTGCGGTTCTAGGAAGCCACGTCACCACCGGAGCACCACAGCGTTCGGCAGCTGCTTCGCGTCCATCAATTTCCACCGGAGCTCCTTCGCCTCCCTGATCCGTTGCCACCGAGACACGAAGAGGCATGGGCGCTTTAACGTGAAACTGATCTCTCCACTAAGCTGGCAGCAAATTTCCCCACTGATGAGCTGCCCCTTTAAACCTGAATTCTCTCTAGCAATTCTCGTCATTTCTCCTCCTCGCTGCTGCATCCACCGCAGAAGCAGGTGCCAGCGCCCTCCCCCAGTGCGACGACAACCAGCAGCACAGGCAGCAACATGACGCCGCGCCGCTCGTGCCTCACCTGCGCACGCCGCTGCGGCTGGCCAGGCTCGCTCAAGCGCCGCTTATGCTCGTGGCCGGGCTCGCCCCCACGCCGCCGCAGCTGGCCGAGTTCGTCCGCGCGCTGCTGTTTCTCCTCCTCGCCGTTGCATCTACCTGCCGAGCTCACCCGCATGCCGCTGTAGTAGGCCGAGGTCGCCTGCACCCCGGCGCAGCAGGTCAGGCTCGCTCGTGCACTGTTGTTTCTCCTCCTCATTGCATCTGACGAAGCAACAGGTGCCGACGCCCCTCCCCCGGTGCGACGATAAGAAGCAGTAGGCGCAACACCACGATGACGCACACCACATGCCTCGCCCGGGCGCGTTGCTGCAGCTCGCTGGGTTCGCCCGCGCGCCACCGCCGCAAGTAGCCAAGCTCACCCGCGCTTCGCTGATGCTCGCGGCCGGGCTCGTTTTGGAGGGGATGTCGTAGATCGATTGTGGAGGACATCCGTGACAGAGAGTCCAAGATCTCGGGAAAGGCATATTCGTTGGAGCTTTGGAGATCATATCGATCGTGGACTTTGTTCTACGTGATTTCGTCCGCCGGTATGGCAAGGACAGGGACGGCAATTTTTATCCGCGCGAAGGAACTCGGAAGAGGTCCCCACGAAACAAAGGGGCTGGCCATTCAATCATTTCCTCTCTTTTCCTATTTTTTTTTCAAATTTAATATTCAAAGTCGCTCTATTATCCTATATAATGCTGCAAAATTCACATGTTTATTCCCACAGCAACGCGCGGGGTATTATCTAGTTTATTTAAAATCTAGAACTAGCAACTGCCTTGAAGGGCGGGCCTGGTGCAAGCGGTAGAGTTTTACCACTTATGTAGGAAGGTCCGGGTTCAAGTCATGATCTCCTCAAGATTGCAGATAGGCGAGGTAAAGGCCACTTGGTGACACCTTAGGGCACATGCAGGCGGGAGCTCTCTCTGGAGTGCACGCCTTTTATTAGCAACTGCCTTACTTTTCAGTTTTACATGATTATGCTCTGAAAACTGTGAGCCCAAAGATGTAGATCCAATCGTTTTAGCTAAGTCTTTAAACAGATTTATGACTATCAGTTTGACTTAGGCTGAAATTTGCATTATTATTGTTTTCTTACAAGGCTACAAGCTGTGTTATTTGTTCAAACAACTTTCTTTCTGATTTAGCATTGAACCTATTTCTTTTTGGTGTGTAGCGCAGTACTTAGCACACCAGCAATGGCGGCTACTTATCAAACTGGCCTTGTGGCTGGGCCACAGTTGCTGAACACTGAAATTATCACTCAGAGGGCCACCAACTTTGTTGCTGACAATAACAGAAAAGACAAATGCATTGGCTACTTGGACGTCTTTGTACACCAGGCACGCGACATCCACAATGTTTGTATCTATCACAAGCAGGACGTGTATGCGAAGCTGTGCCTCACGAGCAGCCCTGATGTTTCATGCTCAACCAAGGTGATCAACAGTGCTGGGCGCAACCCGGTATTTGAGGAAGGCCTACGGCTTGATGTGCAAACTGTGGATGCTTCGCTCAAGTGCGAGATATGGATGTTAAGCAGAGTGAGGAACTACCTGGAAGATCAGCTCCTTGGCTTTGCCCTTGTTCCTCTGGCAGACATTGTAATGGGTGATGGAAAGCTGGTCCAGGAGTTCTCCTTGACATCCACTGACCTGTTCCACACACCAGCTGGATTTGTGCAGCTGACCTTGTCATATGCTGGCTGTTCCCCAGATGTTATCCTCATCTCATCACCCAATAAGTCCTCGTCAGGAATGGATGATTCTGGAAATGATCATGTTGTTCCTTCTCAGCTTGAAAATATTGTGTTCCCAGACCTAAATGTGGCGAAGGAAGACGAGATTATGGTGTCAAAGTATCTCGAGATGGGGTCTTTGGACTCTGAAAACCCTATAAAAGTTGAGAATGGCATGTCGCTGCATTCTGGAAATTATGATGATGATGTTCCTTCTAAACATGAAAAGATCGAGTTCAAAGATTCTGAGAACCCTGCAAAAGCTGAAAATGGCAAGTTGCCACAATTTGGTGGAGCTGTGCCTGGTACTGCAATATGTGCAGATAAGGTTGAGGAACACCGCGATGAAAGCCCTCTAAGTTGTGTCTCAACCACAGGCTCCTCCACTACCCTTTCTGCAACACAGCAATCAGTTTCTGAGCCAAATTCTGAACCTTCGGAGACCAGTATTGAGGCATCCCCAAGACAATGCCATAGGGAGAAAAGCCAAGATGTTACAGATGGTGAGGCTGATTCTTCTGAAACACCACCCAAGGATGAAGTTATCAAGCCTGTGATCAGCATTAACCTTCAGCCAGAGCAGTCAGTTGTCCAACAGGACATAGTTGACATGTACATGAAGAGCATGCAACAGTTCACAGAATCTCTTGCAAAAATGAAACTTCCTTTGGACGTTGAGAATAGTAGTCCCTCAAACGAAGAATCCTACTCCAGTACAATTGAGAAGACATCCCCATCCCCATCATCCGCATCAAAGGGTTCTAGGGTCTTTTATGGAAGCAGGGCCTTCTTTTAAGTTTCTGATGCAAAGTAGTGCACTAGCTCGTTATCTCATATATACATATACATGGTCCAGGTTTGTCAGATATTGGCTGTCATGTAATCACATACTTTCTGTCTCCATAATATGCGTCTAGGACTCACTCTTGGTATTGCTAATAGTGTTATGCTCTGTTAGAAGATAATAACTTCAGAATAATCTCATCTCATAGTTGTAGATTAATCCCATGTACTAATACATATCAATGAATATAATGTCATGAAATCAGTTCTGACTCAAGTATTGTGTTGTGTGTATCTGAAATCAATGAATATAATGTCATGAAATCAGTTCTGACTCAAGTATTGTGTTGTGTTTATCTGAAAGGCTGCGTGAGCATTCATTTGAAAAGGTTCTACGGATTGTCTGCTTATCCAAACCTCTTCTAGCTAATATGAGCTCTCAATCTGCTCTTGTCATGAGCTGTTGTCAAGGTGAATCATATTCTGCTTCTCAGAAATAGGTAGAGGCACGACCGTGACAGAGCACTAGAGCAGCAATGGCTGCTAGTTGAAACATTCTATTTTCATCATGAAAAGCTGGAAGCTGCGATCGTTTCCTTGTCATAATTACATTGCAACTTTAAAAAGATGGTGCTAAGTGATAACGTGGTATCACGGGCACTTGATTTTAGTGGCTCAAGTTCTCGTTTTGAAGTGGAAGTCGCATTTGAGGAACTTAATCATATACTTGTAGCTTGATGCAGTAGGTCAGTATCTTTTAGCTACATGGGCCAACAGCTGGAAACTGACAGACAATTTGTATCAGCTTACGACATGACTAATAACATTGTTTATTGTTTTATCTCTGTTTCCAATTGACAGTCCAATGTTTTACTCCCTCCTGACTCGTGTGACAACTAGGCGAGCTTGTTAATTTTTGCCATGTTCGCTTGGCTTAGAAGAAGTCGATTTTTTGACCAACGAAACAATATTTTTCTCCCACAATAAATCGGTAACAAGATTTTTCGGTAGCGACTTATCGGTAGAAAGCGAACAGGCTAACTTTACCGCAAACAGGCGTACAAAGATATTGCCCAGCCCATTATGACGTGCCTGTATCAATCGCAGTTGCTGCCGGATCGAAATATTATTAGTATTAACTTTGTGAGACAGAATCATCAGATGTTTTGGGTTGATGTCGCTGGCTGGGCCTGGGCTCATGACAACGATCGCCATCGTCCATCGAAATGATTACGCTACTCCCACTAGTGCATTGCATGTGAAACGTGCAGAACTATGGTCCCAGTGATGCGCAGCCGTAACATGAGCAAACAGAACAGAGGCCTCAGGCCTCAGGGACTGTACATTTATTCCACAGGACATCACACGACCTGAATAAGCATCCAAAAACACACAGAAACACAGCACATGAACAGCAGACGGGGCAGGGAACCTGCTGCTGCGTTGCGCTCGAAAAGGGAGGGGGAGAGGAAAGCATCGCTCCACAGGGCAAAGCTGTGGTGGTCCCCATCTCAGCAGTTTTATTCTCTCGTGACGAGCTGACCGGTTGGAGGAGCACGGCATCCGGCATGTGCACTCCTCGTCGTTCATTTAGCCTGCACAGTGGAACTTGTACAGTCAGTCCACCTGTTTTAGTTTGGTGCTGACACAACACAAAGCTGCACTGCTAGTCTGCTACTCTGTTTAGTTTACCTCTGCAATTAGGTCGTCGTACTCGTACTTGCCACGGACCTTGTACTCCTCGTTCTTGAAGATGCGGTTGATGAGGATGTTTGCAGAGTCGATACCTGGAAACAACATGCAGCATAAGCATGTAGTGTATGCATTGGGCAGAATCACACTAGTACTAATTGAGATAGAGTCCAAGAGCAAGAGGTGTGTGTGACCTGCAAGGTATGCTCCATGGACATAGCCGTTGTAGCGCTCGCTGGTGTGCTCACCGGTGAAGTAGACCCTCCCAACCGGAGCCTTTTTTTTAATATAATATAATCATAAAGCAGGCGGTAACTGACGTTAATTTACTTGGGCGTCAATGAATGAATATATATTATTATAACCGGATGCGGTAGTTACATCACACACGTACCCTGAGCTGGTCGTACTCGTAGCGGCTGACGCCGATGGGCCAGTTGGAGTAGGAGCCCTTGAAGAAGCGGTTGGACCACCAGCGCGGCACGAAGATGTCGATCTCGTCGGGCGCCGGCACGTCGGCGTCGGGGAACATGTCGCGCAGCACCTCCGCCACCTCCGCCTTGGTGTGGTTGTCGCTCTGCTGCTCGATCCGCCGCGACTCGTCGTCGGTGACGGTGACCAAGAGCACGTTGGCGCCCGGGTACTCCCGCTCGAACGACTGCCACATCCCGTAGTACCCGCGCCGGCTGCTGGCGTACACGAAGAACTGCTTCCCCTCGCCCACGGGCCAGAACTTGGTGGGGAACTTGAGGAAGATCTTGGTGTACGCGCCCATGTCGAACCGGTAGATCGCAGCGATCTTCCAGAACTGACGAGCAGCGATCGATGGTGATACTTGTTAGTATATATTATATATTATTTACTCGATCAGTTGTCATTTCATGGTATAATTAATTAATTAAGCAGGTAGTAGATCGAGCACTGTAGAAGTGATGAACTACTGACCGGCAGCTGGGGCGTGAACTTTATGAGGTCGGTCTGCAGGACGCCCAAGCTGGTGGAGACGACCACGTAGTCCGCGCTGTACAACGAGCCGTCCTCCGTCTTCACGACCACCCCTTGTTTGTTGTACGCGATCTGCCGCACCACCTGCATATAGTATTTTTTTATACAAAATGAAGCTTGCTTATATATTCAACAACATTCTGTTTATTATTAAGGGAGAAAGGACGTTAAACAACTTAATATATGGTCCGTGGCTTTCACTTTCATCCGTATCTATATGGATCCGAAATCCCGGATATATACTCCGTATATACACAGGACACAGCCAGCCAGCGTAAATGTACGTATATACAGACATTGTCACGACGTACGTGGACGATTCTTGAGTTTCTTTTCCAGTGTCGCTATTATACATGGGGCTGTAGTACCTGTGTCTCACGTGGACGGTTGAGTTTTCCTTTTCAGTGAAGCTATATACATGCACGGACAGGCATTTCCTTTTCACGTGGACGATTATTTATTTATTATTTTTTCAGTGTGTATAATCGTTGACGTTGAAATTATTCAATATATATACTCTTGGGTTTTGATTCCAACTGCTGTTTGAGTGAAACAGGTTCAGAGTTATACTGAAATTGTGGTTTCCTTCTGTTTCGTCTTGTCGTTCCTCCGGCACACGCACTCAGGGATGAATCTGTAATAGTATACTTTATGCCCTAAATTTAGAGTCTAATCTGACGTTGACGTATGTGAATGTATGTAGTATATTTGTTTTATGTGGAATTAATCATATATCTATTCTTTCTTTCATGGTGTGAATATGTGTGGTGTTAGTGGACCAACAAAGTGAGGTGTAAAAATATACGATCTAAAATCGACAAAAGAACAAATATTCATTCAATTTTTTTTTGTATATATGCAAAAATCTTTTCGATATATCCTGAATCTAATTCTACTTACGTTTTTATAGTCTTTTTACAAACCATTGATTTCTCTTAAGGTCGAGTGGTTCGCTTTTTTCCTATCCTAATAATATAAGCAAACAAGACTCGCAATCATTAATTCCTCAAAAAAAAAAAATTCTAAATGTCGAAAACGAACGAGGAGCTCAGCATCATGGGCAAGGAGCACCTTGTTGAGCAGGATCCTGCGGTCTGAGAGCTTGCCGTTGCCGTCGGTGGAGAGGTAGGAGCTGCCGATGGAGTGTATGATGGACTCGAAGCCCCGCTGGTCCGCGACGAAGTAGTTGTCCTCGCCGAAGTCGGCGTTGGTGGGCGTCGGCTGTGTGTTCTGCAGGCTCGTCACGCGCGGCGGCTCCGCGAACTCGTAGTCGTAGATGAAGTAGTCCACCGCCATGTCCACCGGCGTTGCCGGCCCGTTCGGCTGGCTGCAATGCAATCATGGGGACAAATTAATGAAAAAAAAAATATCGAGATTAATTAGCACATCATCAGCATCGGGACGCGCGTACTGGTTGAACAGCCGTTGCATGGCCAAGAGGGAGATGTCGTCCTGGCCACTGGGGCGCATCTGTTTGGTAAGGTTGGCACCCTGTTCTTGCACCTCGTAGGCACGGTCCATCTTCTTCTGCACGTACTCCTCGTCGTACAGGCCACCGCCGCTGGTGCGAGCACGAGGACGAAAACATAATTAAACAAAGGATTCAAAACATTGCGACAAATGACTACTTTTGTATTGAAACAAAGTAAATACAAATGTTTTCTCATTTCTTTATTATCAGTTAGTTCATTAATTCTCTGTTAATTCGGCGACGTACGTAAACATCAGGCGTCATTCTCTTTTCTTCCTTTTTTTTTGTTTTTGCTGGCCATGAAACATGCATGGTTCAAAACGTCTTATAGTCACAGTGTCACATTCAGCATTTATTTAACACATGCTGTTCATCGTCATCGTGCATCTTTCAGGAAAACATAGATCGTCCTTCGTCAGTTCATCACCATACCAGCTCATGCATTATTGGCCAACGGCCGGCCGGTCATCATAAGTTTTCAGCTGTGATAATAAGAGTTCTGCCAGAGTGCCAGGACTATCATCATATTAATTCTTTCGTCCGAATGTCCGATTGTTTTAACCACTCAGCAGATGTTTATTTATCATTTGCATTTTAATTAGTTTGGAGGTAGTTCTTTTCTTTTCTTTTTTTTTTTTTTTTTTTTGCTGCACACGCACGCATGGATTGGGTGCATGTTTTAATCATCATCAAGTGCGTGCGTGCATGTGTGCGTTCGTGTATGTAGATATATTAATATGTACACGTACTTCTCCTTGTAGACGCAGCCGACGACGCTGTCGAAGTCGGAGAGGAAGGTCCTGAGCTTGAGCGTGTTGTTGACGATGGGCCAGATGGGGTTGAGG